GTGAAAATCACCTGTATAGTCATCCTCTCCTGAGACAAGGACTGTTAGCAGCTGGGTGAATAACCTTCCCGCTAGTTTCATGCATACACATAACACATGGAGAAACTATAGACATAGTTGTACAAAAGTGAAGTTACACTATATTGTTTTGCAGTATGCTTTTTCCACTTAATATGTTATAGAGATCCACTGTTTTTTCAGCTGTATGTAATCCATTGTTTGAAAGTATCATGGTTTATTTAACCCAATCTCTTATTGATGGACACTTAGGTTTCTATTTTCTTATTATCTCACTAATAAATAAATTCCTTAAATTACAATTATTGCACAAAAAATATATGTGGTATGCGATATTTCATTCCAGAAAGGTTTTATTCACTCACATTTTCACCTGTTACCTACATACTCATCAATGTTAGGTATTATAACTTCCTAAATTTTGCTAATTTTATGGACCAAAAAAATAGTTGTTTTCTTTTAATCCTCACCGAGGATATTTTTCCCCATAGATTGCTAGAGAGTGGAAGGGAGAGAGGAGAGGAGAGGAGGGAGAGGGAGAGAAACATCAACATGAGAGACACACATCGATTGGTTGCTCCCTACGAGCCCCTGCCTGGGTTGGTGAACTTGCAACCAAGGTACGTGCCCTTGACCGGGAATTGAATCCGGGGTCCTTTGGTCCACAGGCTGACACTCTAACCACTGAGCAACCAACCAGGGCAAAGACAGTTATTTTAATGTGCTTTTCTTTGATGACTAGTGGGGATGAGGAGGAGCATATTCCTGAGGGCAGACAGCATATGCACAACTCAAAGGATTGGAATCTAGGGATGCTTTCCCTAAGTGTTCTAGGTGGCGTATTTGGGGAAAGGAAGGTACCATTCAAGCTGGTTTGTATGGCTTTGTTCACATCCTTATTTTTAGTTTTCACAGAACTTCGTAAAGACAGATGCTGCCAAAATCGTGCTGGTTCCTAGCATGATAGCAGATGTCTTTGACGGAGAAGTCAGCCCTAAAGAAAGGGATTGCAGACTCTGTTGTATCTTGTCTACAGCCTGGGGGAGCAGAGGCCTCAGTGTTCATCCCCGGAGAAGGAGACTCATAGTTACAGGCTCCTGATGGCTTACAGATACCAGGTGTGGGAACCTTGGAGCCTGCTCACCTGGCTGGTCTCTACATCAGGCTGATCATGATTTTTGTAAATAAATAATTATCAGTGTGTAGTCTTTGGAAGTGAATGTTAGATTAGATTGGGTTTTAATTGTTTCCAGAGAAGTATGTGAGATGGTTGGGTGGGCTTTGTCCCATAGTTGAAGTGGTTAGCTGTGTCTTTTTTTTTTTTTTCAAGGAACTCCATGAGGTCAGATACTATATCAACAAGCAATATCAAAAACCGAATCGGTAACAAATTGCCACCTGAGAAATTTGCAGACGTCCGACATTTATTAGATGAGAAACGTCAGCACACACGTCCACGGCCGTCCGGCAGCAGCACTGCATCAGGTACGGGTGGTCAGCTCTGGTTCTGGGCTTCATTCTGAGCTCTGGAAGGCAGACGGGCAGGGATAGGTTTTTAGATTAAATGGTGTCATTTGTGGACGGATTTAGTTGTTCTGGCTCATTACTTCTAAATTTTGGGTTAGGTATTGGCTTTTAGGACATGAAAAATCCGACTTTTTAATACTAGCTTTCAGTATTTTTGAACCTAACGATTATCTTACTATGTATGTCATTGGTGTTTTTTAAAATATATTTTTATTGACTTCAGAGAGGAAGGGAGAGGGGGAGAGAGACAGAAACATCAATGTTGAGAGAGAATCTGATCGTCTGCCTCCTGCAAGCCTCATACTGGGGATCAAGCCCACAACCTGGGCATATGCTCTGACTGGAAATTGAATCGTGATCTCCTGGTTTATAGGTTGACACTCAACCACTGAACCATGGCGGCTGGGCAATCATTGGTATTTTTTATATGTCAGGGTAATAGAAATTGTTATAGAAATGGTTAAGGATTTGGACTAGACGGTGTAGCGGATGCTCGGCCATGCCTACTGGGTGCCAGGCCCTGGGCTAGGTGCTGGGAGTGTTCGAAGTCTTCAGAGGGGATGCAGAATCATCCTAGAACTTTGATGGAGAAACACGAGTGCACATTCGGATCATTCCCCTGAAAGCAGAGAGGAGGACGGGCTCTGATAGGCAGTGGACTTTAAGCAGTGGACTGTGGGAGCAGAGAGGGAAGCTGGATCTTCGGGCAGAATTGTGGAAGGCTTCTTAGAGAAGGTGGGGAGAGAATAGGATCTCAGTTGGCAAATAGAGTTTTTTGAGGAAGTAACCTGATTTTATATCTATTTCAGAAAGATAACTTAGGAGCAGAGTGAGGTTGGGTATAGAGTTAAGTAAGTAACAAAGGCCTGAACTAGGTCAGGGACCACAGAGACAGAGTGGACGAGAACGTCACACGTTGTGAAGGGAGGAGACTCGGCACTGGGATGCGAGGGAGGAAGGGAGAGAAGCCAAGGGACCCAGGTAAGTGGGACGGGATGATGGGGTGCTGTTCTCCGAGAGTAAGCAAGGCGCGGAAGAGCCCGTTGCTAATAAAAGTGGTTTTGTTGTTGCTGTTATTGTGTTACTGTTAGAAGGAACTCAGGAGGAAAGGCAGATTTTGGGGGTGGGGGGTATAGAGGAAGAACAAATTTGATTTGGGACATCTTCCCTTAATCTTTTGCTTTTCACCACTCTCATTACATTTATTGTTAAGTGTAATAAGTTTATTGAGAACTTATATGTTCAAAGATTGTGGCTTCTGCCCTCGGCTTTTGCAATATTTCTTGTTAACTAAAATGTTTGTAAATCATTTGGTCTGCTTGGTTCTACTAAAAAAAAAAGACAGTTGATTCTGCCACAGAAATTCCTTTCTGGAGCAGTCAGCTGAGAACACACCCCCCCACCCCGCTGGGAAACCTTACATCCTAAGGAAATCTAGATTACACACAGTATCGATTTTCAACTGGTCCTGACTATTTAGTCAGGGGCACTGACCTCTTTTCTCTTAGATTGTCAAATAAAAGAATGACAACAGCCAACATGTCCCATGTGGATGAATCAAAATTATACCTTTTCTTGGTCTGCCACAGAACTTTAGTAATTAGTTTGTGTGCCATGAGATGCAAAAGGTTGAAAATCACTGGCATGGAGAGAGATGTTGAGAAGCTTGAGTGTGTTGGCCCTTTGTCCTCACTCGGGAAGATCTGGACCAGGTCCTGTAAGGATCCCAGGTTGACAGTACGGATAGCAAAGCACACACACTTGGTAACAGTAGTACTTTTCTTTCCTAGATATACGCCAGCGGTTAGGAAAAAGACCACATTCTCCAGAAAAGGCCTGTAACCCCGTCGTTCGGAGAGAGCCCTTTTCTGATGTTCACAGTAGGCTAGGTGTTCCCAGGCAAGACACTAAAGGCCTCTATTCTGATACTCGGGAGAAGAAATCAGGTTGGTAACACTTTAAAACTGATGGGGATGGCAATTGGGTAAGAAGAGCAAGGACAGTGGGTAAAGCATCGAAATACTTTGTTAGTAGGGGCAGTAAATAGGAGGTGCCAAAAATATTTTTTCTCTTTCATAATAGTTATAACAACAACAATAATAATGGTAGTAATATGGACATTTTAGTAAATAGATAAAGACCCATCCCTGGTTCTTTCAGTTTAGCACAAATACTTTTTAGTTTCATGTATGCCATTCCAGTCTTTGTCCATATACATATCCTACCTTTTTATATAGTGTTTTACCATAGTCACTCTTCTACATGGTTAAATTCTTTTTAAAAAATATATATATTTTTTATTGATTTTTTTACAGAGAGGAAGGGAGAGGGAGAGGGATAGAGAATTAGAAACATAGATGAGAGAGAAACATCGATCAGCTGCCTCTTGCACACCCCCTACTGGGGATGTGCCCGCAACCCAGTTACATGCCCTTGACCAAAATCGAACCTGGGACCCTTTAGTCCACAGGCCAATGCACTATCTGCTGAGCCAAACCAGCTAGGGCGGGTTAAATTCTTTATAAATAAAACTTAATTGCCTTATAGTGTGGCTATACTATGAAATTCTAAACACATATTTCTCTATTATTAGATATTGATAAAGTATATTTTTAAAATATAATGGAGCGTGGGCAGAATCTCTGAAAGTTTGCAGTGTTGCAGGCCCATCAGTTTGTAGAGCGTTATAGCTGGGATGATCTGGGGATGGCCCACTCCTGGCAGAACGCAGCTGTGCACAGGGTGGTGCGTTTCACCAGGGAGGGGGCAGGTGTAGCACAGACTCCCCGGTGATTCTAAAATGCTTAGCATGGAGGCCATGTTCCCTGGCTGTGAGAATCTCCCCTTGGGTCCAGATCCCTCAGTTTGCAGGCAGGGGATGCAGCCAGGGAGGTGAGATTACCTGTGCAAGGCTGCCCAGTGGTTGCAGGTGCCACAGACCCTCCTCCCTCACCCCCACCACCACTGTTCCCTGCTCATCAGGTGTTGGCAGTACCCCCGCTTCCTCAGCATTGACTACCAAAACTAAAATGCCTTCTCATTCAAACAGGTAGTTTATGGACTCGCTTAGGATCTGCATCCAAGACCAAAGAAAAGAACACGAAGAAAGTGGATCGTAGGGCCCCTGGCACTGAGGAAGATGACTCCGAGCTGCAAAGGGCATGGGGGGCTCTGATAAAGGAGAAAGAACAGTCTCGCCAAAAGAAGAGCCGGTTAGATAACTTACCATCTCTCCAGATTGAAGTTAGTCGGGAAAGCAGCTCTGGTTCAGAGGCAGAGTCCTGATGCCCTTGGGGCCGATGGCAGCTGCCCTAAAGCCTGACATTCTGGCGCAGGGTGGGTGCACAGTAGGAACCTCCCCTGCAGGAGTTGGTGCCCCTCCCGCTTTACTCACAGAGTCACCCTCAGCTCTTGCTGCTTTAGCAAGAGCTCTTAAGAATGTGACGTGTTTGAAGGCACCTGTCGATCTTTTGCTGCAGTTATAGCTCTGGGCCCTCGATTTTTTTCCTACCACTCCACAAGCTTTACCCTTTGAGAAAAAGGCAGCCCTCCAGATTTTGTAGATGTTTTTCTTAATATTTTTAACATTGTGTCTTTGAAAAAAAAAATGTTTTACACAGTTCATCCAAAGAGCAGAGAACTGAACTTCTCACTATTGCCTTGGCCCTGACAGCTGTTACCAGCACCCTTTTCCCAAGAAAAGTCAATTCCCAGGTGCTTATTGGACAGCCTTCGAGGGGGAAGATGAGGGAAGCTGCCAGCTCACTCTTCCAGGACCCTAGTGTGGGGGCCGAATCTCATGGACCTGACCTCAGAGGTGCACCAGTGCTGCCCAGGTAGATCGCAGACACAGCGTCGGTCGTGCTTCCGTTCCTCCTGGAGATGCCTGTTAGGGACCTCTTGTTGGCACTCGGCTTGCCGTGAAGATCAAGTTCAGTACTGGGGGATTTTTAGGAACAAAAAACTGTGACTTCCGGATTTGGGATGGATTTTTTTGTGCTAGGGGTGGGGTCATGGGGTAATGTTGAACAATTTCTAAGTCTGTATTATGTTTAAAAAATATTAATGATTTAAGGTTTAAATTTTTAATTTTTATATGTGAAAATACTTCCTGTTGGCTACCAGGGAAGCTCAAGTGGTGTCTAATGTGCTGTTAAATATATATTATATACTTTGGAAGAAGGCAAAGAGAGGAGTCTCATTATTTTTAAATGATCCTAATTGTATTGCCTGTTGTACATAGAGTTCAGCTTGCCTTTGGCCACTCTAGGAAAACATCCACCCATCCGAGATGGGGTTCTGTTGTTCGTTATCCCTTTAGAAGTAACGCATTGACCTTTTTTCTGACACCTGGAGACATCTTCCAAACTGGCAAATGACATAGTTATAGAAATTTTGTTCATTTTTTTCTAGTTTTAGTTCGATTATTTTAACTAAAGGGCAGTAGATTAGTTTGTTTTCCTGTCTGATTTTTATTTTGAAGTATTTAATGTTTGCATTCCTCTGCAGCTTAAAAAGGGTGTTTCACTTCAGTTCACCAGCACCTGGGAGTTAGGGATAGTGAAGCCTTGTCCCTTTTGTGATGTCACAACTCTCCACCTGCCGGAGCGTCCCAGTCCCCGGTGCAGCCTGCATTCTAGAGCTCCTCCCTTCTTGTGGCTGAGTTCATTAGTGTTCCTGGAGAGCTGATGGAGTGCAGACACTGTTGTTAATCTAGTGAAGGGCTGCAGCAAAGCCTGCACTGTCTGTGTTTTGTTGCTTGACCTGCTTTTTTCTCTCCCTTTAGAAAGATTAGAACAGGCCCATGATACGTTTCCCCTTCCTAATAGGATTCTAGGAAAGAGAGAGTTGAGGCTTCTCTGCCGGTTGAGACCTAAGGTTTCGGAGGCTCCTCAGCTCTCTTGCTGTTGAAGCACACGGAGCCAGGTGCTTGAGGGCTTGGGAGCTGATGGAGTGAGAACTATGAGGCCCCGAGAGTCAGAGACCTGGTGCCACCCCTGGCTGTGCTCCATGACCTGGGCCTTGGTTTCCCCACTTAGCAGATGAATGGGCTGGAACCAGCGCTTCTGGCTTTGTAGGTGTGTCTCAGTGGTGTTTGACTTTTTGCCCCAGTTACGGCTGCAGTAAGCTGCCCAGCACTGGTTTCTGTTGCAGGCGGGGGAAGGGTCAAGGAGTCAACTGAGGCTGTGCATGAGGTTGTGGACAGGGACTCACCCCATCCATCCCAGTCTCTGGGTGGGACAGAGTCTCTGTGGCCAGGGTCCCAACTGACAACGGTCTCTGTAGTTTCAGAAAGTGCCCCCTCCTAGGATTTCCTTTGGGTTTCCCCGCAGCGGTGCAGGCCCGTCTGTCCCAGGGCCTTTTGGTCCTCCCAGTCCCCGGTAGAGACCAGGGAAGACTTTCAGGTGAGTGGTGGTTTGTAGTCAAAACCGGGTCTTTGACTTAGCCAAGGAAAGTGCCTACTTTAGCAGCTTGGCAGTTCTCACAAACACACAGAACCCAGAAAAGGATCTTCAAAGATTTTCAGTGTATTTCTGAAAGTTATTGGTCTCAGCCTCTCTTGCTCTCCAGCCTGTACTCAGATACTCTGATTGTGCAATCTCTTAGGCGTGCCCGAGTGCCCAGGCCCTTCCTTTGGAGTTTGGGAGTGAAAATGGACAGTCAGGACAGTCCCCTGGCAGGAGCTCAGTGGGCTTTTACACAGACCACATCATGGACGTGGGCAGCAGGACTACGCACTTTTCAGATTTCTCTTCGTCTTTATATGTACAAGATTTTAAATACATATTTGCTGCTTGATAATAATTAGATACCTCAGTTCTGTTTCCCACTCTACCTCTTGGGAGAGGTACCTGCTACCCAGGGGAACTTGCAGAGGCTCCACAGATGGTACACTCTCCTCATCTGGCCTCATCTAGTTCATGCCTTGAATCCCTCCCGGAAGTTCAACCACTGTCTCCCGCTCCATCTCCATAGCAGCTCTTCCCTGGTCTCTGCCCCATCTCTCCCTCTCTCTTCTGCACCATACCCAGGGTGAACTCTTGTTGTTAGCAGTTTATTGACATATAATTTATGTATTGTGCACGTCAGTGGCTTTCTGTATAGTCACAGAGAAGTGCAGCCATCGTCATAATCAATTTTAGAACATTGCGTCACTAAAAAGAAACCTTGTACATTAGCAGTCACTCCTCATTCCCTGTCCCCCTCCCCGCAGCAACCACTGTTTCTGTTGCTATGGATTTGCCTATTCTGCACATTTCCTATAAATGGAATCATACACTTTGTATGATTCGTGACTGGCTTCTTTCATTAAACATATTTTCAAGTTCCATCCATGTTGTAGCATGTATCAGCACTTTATTTCCTTCTGTTGCTGAATAATATTCCACTGTATGGCTGTTTTATCTATTCACCTGTTAATGGACATTTGGGTTGTTTATGCTTTGAGACTATTCTGAATAGTGCTCCTATGAACATTTATGTACAAGTTTTATGTGGACATATGTTTTCATTACTCTTGGGTTATATATCTCGAAATGGAAATGCTGGGTCATATTGCAACTCTGTCTTTAACCTTTTGGAGATGCCAGACTGTTTTCCCAAGTGATTGCATCATTTTTCATTCCCCCCAGCAATATACAAGGGTTCCAGTTTTTCTACATCTTTGACAGCCACTTATTTTCTGATATAAATTGGTATCTTGTGGTTTTGAGTTGCATTTCCCTGATGACTCCAGATGTCGGCTCTCTTTTCATGTGCTTCGGGATGAACTTTCTGTTATTTCTCTGCTTAAGACCTTTTCCAAAGCGTCGCCATTGCCCTTGGAATAAATCCCAAACTCCTCAGATACTCACACGGCTGGTCGAGACCTGTTCTCTGGCACTGTTTCTGGCCTGTTGGCCCGCCCTCCCCTGCCCTCTGCTCACTCCTTCCCTGGGCTCATCGTTATCTTCCCAGCCTCCCAGGCTCTGCTCAGTGCTGTCCGCCCGCACTGGCACCCCCGGCCCTGTCCCCTCCTGCCTGGCCTTCTCAAGGACTTAGCGACCCCTCCACGGGGCTACCCCAGCTCCCAGAGCCAGAGTCTGGGTCCCTGCTTTGTGCCCCACGGGACTGCCACATGGGAGTCTTGGCTTACTCCCGGGTTAGAGTAGAAAATCATTCCCAGGTAACCACTGAGTGTAAGCACAGTTCCCTGGACACCCTGAGGGCCAGCATCAGGAGGCCCCTGAGGAGCGCGTTGCTCCTGCCCGTGTGGCCCAGGGCCCGGTGTCTGTGGTTGAGCAGCCGGGGAAGTGTCAGGTCTGCGCTGACGCTGAAGGGCCATAGTCCCACTCCGGTGAGAAGAGGCGCTTGGGGGCTCAGAGGCCCCAGGAGCAGCAGAGCTTGAGCTCGCCACCGGCCCTCCTGCCCTCTGCTGGGTGTGGGGAGGGCAGGCGGAATGCGCCAAACGATTTAAAATTATTTCCCTTTTCCCTTGTCTCTTTTCCCCCAGACAAATGCCATGGTGTTTGCCTAAGTGAAGTGTGTATGATACGAAAGCTCTGTCCTCTCCCAGCCTGCCCCTTTACACTGGATTGTAGTTCCCAGTTCCTAGTTTGTCTTTTTGCTAGATTGTAAGCTCCGTGAGAGCAGGGACATGTCTGGCTTGTTCCTGGGGTTTCCCCAGTCCTGGCACCATGCCTGGCACCTGACCTGCCCCCCACGGACGGGTGCTGGGTGTGCCCCACCCCCACTGCAGGAGCAGCTCCCTCCACTGAGGCCTGGCTAGTCCTTGTTTTCCTGCCTCGTACCCACCACACTTCGTCTTTGTTTCACTGTCCCTGCCAGCTTGCGAGCTCCCAGTGAGCAGGGTCTTCCTATTGTCGCTGCTCTGTCTTCCCAACATGCCAGAGCAAGTGGCGCCTAAAGAGTGTTTGGTAAACGGACTGTGGTACCTTTGTCTCCACGTCAGGCTACTTTTAGTAAAGACCACCAGACTCAGAGGAAGGTTGCTCAGCAGTGCATACTTGTATAACGGAAACATCTCATTAAAACCTTGATAAAATTCCCATTTTGGTGATCTGGCCATAGCTGAGCAGAAACTTACCCAGCTCTTGGAAGAGTTTGCTAGAGAATTACGTAGGCAAGAAGGCAGGAGAGCCGGACAGGAAGAGGGCAGGTGGACAGAACCCCATGGAAGGACTGCTGGGACGGCCTGGCCTCTGGTCCTGTTGGGGAGGAGCGGGACGCAGCCCGGAGAAGGCGAAAGGAAGCAGCTCTCTCCGCACAGCCCTTGGTCTCCAGCAGCACTCCAGCTCTCACGGAGCGTTCTTAAATGATGGCGAAATGCTGACAGGCTCTGTGGGTTAGAGTTAACAGCAACTCGTGGCTTCACAGATTCATTAATTGCTGCACAAGTAAGCTTGATGTATGATTATTTGCGTTTAAACCTTATATAATAAGAAATAAATTTGAAGTTAAACCATTTTTTCTTCTAAGAACTAAAAAGACCAAATTTTTTTTATAATCTTGAGAATAGCACACTTCAAGGCAGATTACTATTGTGTAATCTCACCGCCAATAATCTAGAACTTTTCTTACATGTTTATAAAGTAGGTCTTAGAAGAAAAACTACTGTAGCATTTTTTAAAAATGAAATTTATGAACATTTCACAGACTTTTGATGTTCCAGGGGCAATTAGGGAAATGCCAACTCCAAGCCTGTTTCAAACAGTTGTGAGGCATTGAAGTGGGATTTTGCTGTGGTTTAAGTAAAACTCCAGAGTGTGGTTAGTGTTTAATCTACCACAGTCATACCCTGCCTGGGCTCTTAGTTGTTTTGTCTGAGCAATTCCAGAGGCCCTAGACCAGTGCACGTTAGTGAGGGCAAGAGGCCCACACAGTTGGCGGGAGAGAAGACGTGGCCTTCCCATCTCTTCCTGGGGTTGTGTGTGTGTAATCCTATGATGTGTCCTTCTTGTCATTGGTAAGGGTTCCTCGGGGGGCCTGTGAGCAGGATGCAGCACTCTTAGCTCAGGTAGAGTGTCTTTGGGGCAGAGTCCAATAGTTTGGAGGCTACCCTGGGGTTGTGTGTGTTTAATCCTGTGGTGTGTCCTTCTTGTCATTGGTAAGGGTTCCTCAGGGGGCCTGTGAGCAGGATGCAGCGTCTTTGGGGCAGAGTCCAATAGTTTGGAGGCTACAGCTGGGGC